TGTTATTATCAGAAGCCAGTAGGTCCTGGGTTCGAGCCCCGGATGGTGCGGGGTCGTGGATGCGCACTGCTGAGGAGTCCCATACTAGGACGAAACGGCCGTCCAGTGCTTCCAGGTTTTCAATGGTGGTCTAGCTTCAACTGACTCATGAGTTCAATCTGTGAGAATGTGTTTACATTTGTAGGTAACGATTAGGACATTAAAACTATAGCTTTTGATGATAATTATTGAATTCTAAGGTCAATCACATATAATAGTAATACATTTTATATCAGGAAGTAAACCAGAATTTTTGGGGAGTCCCAAAATATCCCTCTAAAATCTCTAGAAGTCAAAGGAACTACAGAATATTTTCTATTCAATCAACATAGAATAGAAGTTTCTAAGGAATATCTAGGATAATGAAAGATTGCTTGCCACCTTTTTATTAGATGATTACCTATGCAGTTATTATACTTGGAATGTTTTTAGAAAGTTCTGAGAACTGAAGTCTCATAAAACTCCATAAATACACTCGATATTTTGTACATAAACTAGCCTTGCATTACAACACTTACTCATATTTCGCTCTTTTTTCTCTGTTGTTGGAGCTATAGTATCGAAGTAATCTGGTGTTATAGGAATTGGCTAAAAAGTCAGTATCCTTGAAAATAATTAATTTCTATAGTTTACAAGTTGACTTAGTCACTGTTCAACATCAGTGTCCTAAGATCTAGTGTTACATATATTACGATTTCATAATAATGAATAACAATACTACTACCACTATTACTACTACCATTACTACTACTACTACCACTACTACTACTACTACTACTACTACTACTACTACTACTAATAATAATAATAATAATAATAATAATAATAATAATAATAATACAAAAAACAAGTTAAAGTTAAAAGAATATTACCTTGCGATTGATTTTTCATAAAATTTTTAGGCTTATTTTGTGTCGATATTGTAGCTTTTCTTATAATTAGTCACCAAGGTAGTATTACAATAATTTGAGAAAATAAGGTAACTATAAAGTAGGAAGATTTACAAATCAGATCATTCAGGAGACACTATTTAATTAAGGGTATTATTTTTGTTAATCAAAAGGTGTTGTATGTATATCTGATAGATACACATTTATTTTCTTTAAAATACTCTCATTAATTCTAATGGGAATCCAAGAGGTCTGATGAAAATGAGTACATTCCGATTCTAATACAAGATAGATTTTATCACAAACGAATTCACATGAATACCATGGAAAAGCTAAGATGAACCGGATAGCTGCTCTGTCTCACTTTCCGGCTTCTCAGTAATTCCTATCAATCTGCCATGGTTTACGATAATTCTATCAGATTAAATCAGTTTAGGATAAAAACTATCTTCTAGTAAAGTATATCACTTCACTTGAAACTTTATTGTATTTCAACGAATATTCGAGTTCATTTAAAACACTGATCATCAAACTTCTGTTATAATACACAGTATGAAAAAGTTTTTACCTACAATAACAATTTATTCTGAGTGCACCTTTAAAGTGAGCTATCTCCTTTGTTTTCGATTTTGTTTCTAAATTAAAAATTAGACTGTAAGCTAATGGTTGCTCTGATTTCTGGAAACCACTGCGTATTGATAAAATGTGATGGATACTGTTCTAGTTTATATATGTATACATATAGGCTACAATACTGTTAATAGAGTGAGTGACCTTGAGATAATTAATTCCCTTCCCACCTGATTCATTTACTGATAGGTATTATGCTAATATTGTTGCAAAACTAAAATGTACTAGATAGTTCAATAAATAGACGGAATAAGTTCATAAAAACTTTATTTCACAAAATCTACCATATATCTCATCCCCTTTCAAAATAATCTCTATTTGAGGCACAGCATTTAGTGTATCTCTTGAAGTCCTCAAAAACCAGAGTCTTTAGCTTCTTTAGTGTTTCATCTTTTACTAGAATCCGGTGAACACACAGTACTTACAAATTCCAAAACCGCCCGAATAGTGGAATGATGATAGGAGAGAACAAATGATCGCATAAATTCGATGCTTTCATCAAAGGAGGTGGTTGACGTTATTCTTGACCTTTTAGAATTCTTTTAGTCTTCACTACGGTCAATGAAGTATATAATGCATGTGAAAAAGCAGTTTTATCCAATGTGTTATATACCAAAAGTATATGTTTATATTTTTTGAACATCCTGATAGCTTTTTTCATCAATTCCCACAAATTACATTGTGGCAAATTCAATCATTATTTCAGTATGTATGATAATCTGGTAAATATTCACTGTTTTAATATTTGTTTAGCATAAAATTTGTTTTAGGTTATAATCATTTAAATCCAATTAATAATCACATGAAAAGCGATTTAATGTAAGGAGTGATATTCTACCATAAATATATTCTTCGCCATCTCAAACTATGCTTTTTTTGTTTTCATAGTTTGAAGGTTTAGTCACAAATATTAGAAGAGAAATTACTGAAGTGTAATTTAGGTTATAGTTACACAGAAGAGTCATGATCATGTTCCGTTAAGTTCTCTGTGCCGTTATTCTAAACTTTTTAGACATCCTACAACTAAGAACAGATAATACTGGTAGTGACCAGGGTAATTTACAAATTCCAATTTGAACCATGACAAATCCTCTTCTGGTCACGTTATTAGCATTTTTTTTATCAGAAGGGGTTTGTGGAGATTTTAGAAATTTCAGAGATTGAAATCATGAGTCAATTGAAGCTACACCACCATGGAAAACCTGGAAGCACTAAACGGCCGTTTCTTCCTAGTATGGGACTCCTCAGCAGTACGCATCCACGACCCCGCACCCCGCGAGATTCGAACCCAGGACCTATCAGTCTCACGCCAGGCGCTTAACCAACTAGACCACTGAGCCGGCTGGCATCCAACGGTGTTATTGTCTAACTTCAACCAATCCACGAAGTTGCATCACCGTGCACCATTGTCTTCAGTGAGTTGATATCTCACAACAGACCTGGTTGAACTCCACTGATAACGGCTTCTCACTAGAACCGTCCAGTTCTTCCAGGTTTTCCATGGTGGTCTAGCTTCAATTGACTCATGATTTCAATCTGTGAATTTATCTTTTTCCGTATAATAAATAAAACTAGAGGTTGCATATGCATGTTTGGAAATTTTACAATCATTTGTAGTTATTTTTTGGCATAGAATGATGTACCCACCTATTTAGACTGTCATTAATTGTATTGAAATCATTATAAGATCATAAAATCATTTTTAAAGTATGCATTTTAAACTGATCAAATTTACACATTTTAGTTACTATAAGAAAGGAATAAACTTGAGTCGGTTAACCTCGAATTAAAAAAAAACTGATTTTCACTGAGATTAAAAGAGCAATTTTAATAAAGAATTGAAGTCAATGAAAGAATTATTGAAAAAAGCAATAGGTGGTAGACTTATATTTCGTTCTAGTTTGGGACTATTTAGTATTTCAGACCTACAAACTACAATGATCTTGACATTACTTGACTGGTATGTTACTTTTATTTAATCGCTAATATGGGATTTAGTGGTACATAATTGCAAATTTAGGCCTACTGGTATTATTAGTAGAATATATTAAGAACTGGAACACTGACTAATAAAATGAAAATGAATCAATCAGCGAAAATGAATCGTAAGATTCTGCTGTGGTTTTGTTTTATAGATAACCATATTTAAATAACAAAACCTATGACATCAATAATAACTTAAAAAATGTGACCATTGAATGTGTAGGATGAACATTACAGACAAAAATAATCACTCCAAGATTATTCTTTTATAATCAATAGTATGACTTTAAAAATATGTGAACTTTCAATGAATATCCTAATTAAATTTCAATTTGTTTTGCACAAATAGTGTTAGATACATACGATCTGTTGATCACAGGGTTTGTGCTGATGATGTCGTTCAGAAGAACGATGAAAGCTCCACGACCAAACCATCCAGCTCAGAGAACGAAACTCCACCAAGATCACAGGGTTAGATGTTGTTAGGTTCACTCTTCAGTTTCAAATATCTACACATCATTGGTGTACACTGTTAACGAAAAGAAACTTAATATTGTATTCGTTCTCAGAGCATGAAAGTCCTGGATATAATTGCACGTGGTTTGAAAGGTATTTACAATGAAGTAGTTTATTAGTTGAACATGGTAATTATTTACTACATTTTGACTTTGAGTATCTTCAATGGATAATAGTTCATAATTGCAAAAAGCTAATTTATGAATGGCTCAATGGTAATGCCTGTGACTCGCACTATATGATATGAATTCAGATTTTATGGGTAACATTATTTCTTTTAAGATTGTTAGTTGATAGATAGAATTCTGTCAGTACTGTGATCTAAACGAGCTTGACAACGGCCATGACACAGTAATAAACCAATCAAAATATTTTATTTTATTTATTTATTTTAACACATAGATATTGGTACAAGGAGGCACCAAATACATATGCGCCACACAAATCTCATTCGATATGTGTGAGGGCTGGGATACTGCCCGGGTGCCCAAACCAAAGCAGGTGGTGTTCTTGGGGGGCCACACCCTGAGCCTTCGACCTGAAGGTCTGATCCACAAGGCAGTGGAGCATCGTAAGGAGATGCAGTCCCATGGAAGCCGGTGACCAAAGACTGGTTCATACACCATTTGCTCCTTCAGGATACTGGAGCCCATGTGCACCATTGGTTTGGAATCCGGTTAAAGCGCCGGACATTCGCTTTTCGTCCTCTCATTTTCGTAAACAACAGTAATGCCACGAGAAGGCAGTGAGTAGGACTTCCCTGGCAGAGACCATATACGCGTGGCCGTGTGAGAGTATTTCGAGAGGGAGAGCGGACTCTCCCCACTCTTGGCCGTACTAGGGCATTTGGGGGCCAATAAAAATATAATGCATAAAAACAATACTAACCACAGTAATAATGTTAATAAAATAATAGCCATGTTGAAAAAGATTTCAACTAACTTCAACCTTTAACGTGTTCAAATCATAACGTTTGATTAATCGACTGCTTGCCATTAAATTGGATACTGTATTCTCTAATACTATGAATATTGTACAATTCTTCATGATGATTCATAATTAATATACAAAATCTATGAATAATGAATCAATTTATACATAGATTTGTTGATAACTAATTTAACTCGAATGGGTGTAAATTTCCCTGAATTATTTCAAATGATTTATATACACACAATTTAAACACTACCAGTAATTTTATATTCAAATAAACAAAAACTTCTTCCCGGAAGTACAATTTCTTGATATACATGTTTGTATAATAATAGCTAGAGTAAATACTTGATTGGTTAATTAGCATTATGACCATTATTCTGTTACTCCAGGTCAATTATTCTATGTATATATACATAATTATACTCGTTTCTATAGAGTATGAGAATTAATTAGGTTTTCTAAGTGGTGTAATTATATATCAATATTAATAATAATACAACATGGGGGTTATATTATTATTGATTTCTGTCACGCATTATGTAATCTAAGCGAAGAGTAGGAAGAAATGTATGTTTCTAAAGAAATTATCCATTATACAAGTACATAATAGCATTCAAAAAGTAAATGCGGGATTATACACTCCAAATATACTAATTTAATATACTGAGTTGTAGTTGTATTCAAATTACATGTAGACTAATACATAATGAATGAACTTCATGTCACTTAGTGCTTACAAAAAAGAGTAGGACGAACATATAATCTGAAAACAGTATGTCTCTACACAGAGAGAGAGAGAGAGATATACACATGTTTAATTGAGTTATGAAGAACCAGGGTTTCATTTGAAATTATAGAAAAGATATGCGAGATAGAGTGGTGATTTTTTATGAAGTTTTCTCTATATTAGACAGTTTATTCATGAAGCTTTAATTTTCTTTCTAAACAAAGTCATCAAGTCAAAATCTTTAGTGTTAAAAAGATTAGCAACAATAATGATGCAGCGGCTTAATCTGACATTGGGTAAATGATACGCGCGTATGACTGGCTGGTATTTGGCTTTTTTTCTTAGGAAATAAATGTGATACACGTTATTGGTGGAAAGATAGGTGTATATTTGAATGTTTAGTTATTTTTTGATACAGTTGGTCGATAGGACGTCCTTGTCACTCATGAATAGGATGTCTGCTTAATAGCATCAGAATCGGATATCTCACAACACAATAAATCACGAAAGAAAAGTGTGGAGTGACAGAACAAATATTGACAATAATCACTTGAATTTATTGCCGATAGAATGAACTGGTTAGACATTCGGGACGAAATTTCGACAATTCATTTATGGTTGAGATCATGAATCAATTGAAGCTAGACCACCATGGAAAACCTAGAAGCACTGGACAGTCGTTTCTTCCTAGTATGGTACTCCTCAGCAGTGCACGCCCACTACCCCGACTCGCAGGATCCAAAACCAGGACCTATCAATTTCGTGGGTTAGTTGAAGTTGGACATTAACACCGTTGGATGTCGGCCGGCTCAGTGGTCTAAAGGTTAATCGTTTGCGCGCGAGACTGATAGGTCCCAGGCTGAAATCTCGCGAGGTGGGATCGTGGATGCTCATTTGCTGAAGAGTCCCACAATAGGACGAAACGGTCGTTCACTGCTTCCAGGTTTTCCATGGTAGTCTAGCTTTAATTAACTCCTGATCTCAACTATTGAAATTACTGCAATCTCCACAAAACCCCTTCTGATACCAATTCATTTATGCTTTTCGCTGATGATGTTATAGTAGTCACTAGATCGAAAGGAACAAACTTCATGCAGGTAATGAATCCTAAAATGAGCTTAACACATACTGCTATTTTGCCCACAGTGGAAATAACACTTATTTACTTAATTAAACGAGCTAGTTGAAGAATTCTGAGTTAACCCATTCCAAACATTGAATTTTGGACTGATTGAAACTAATCAATGTTTAATTGATTTTTATAGTGATATGTTGTCTTCATTTTCATATTTAGTTATGATTTCATAAACCAAGGAAAAAATTGGAGAAAATTATATAAACATGAAAAAAATATAACTAAAATAATTTGGATGTACTATTCTGATTATCAATATGATATTGGTAACGATTCAGAGTACTTTTAAACTGATAACACATAATCAATTTATGAATTAATCCGGAACATAAAAAGCTAATATGATGTGATGTTTGGTATTATACTTTCTATAGTAGTTCTATCCTTGAACTTTAATAATAATTGTAGTGGTTAACTCGTGTTTTGACTGTCGAAATGAACCAATGTTTTCGAACAGGTTGGAATAACTATATATCCGTTTCGACCTAGACTACGTTTTGGCATTTAAACAAAATTAGAGATCATCAAGGCTGTTTTATGATAGATTTCCATGACAAGTTTCTATATGATGCAGTTATCAATATGGACAGGGACAAATGGGAAATTGTTTGTGTCGGAGAATTAGTTCCTGACTGTTTGGCTGGTAAAATATTATATGTATAAATGTGTTTTCAGTTGTTTACAGATGCTAAGTTGAGTTTGAGTATAATGGCTCACGGTAATAGTACACCATAGGGAAAATAATCAGTGAAAATTAATTTTCTACCTTTTTATTCTTATTTGCTCATTTCACGTAATTCTTTTCCGATTACTTCTAATTTACAAATGACACAGTTTTGAAGTATTCATGCCGTTACAAATGTACAAGTTCGGAATTTTTAGCATATAATATTGTCTAATTCATTAATCTTCGCAAAAATAACACAATAATTAACTTATAACCGATGACGTATTTATTAAAAACAATTGTTCGCTCCAATATTCTTTGGGGGTTGTTAAGCTACTTTTCTACAGTTCTTTTCATGCTTAAGTAATAACTAAAACAAATCTATTGTTATACAAATAAAATCTAAAATTCATCCCAAATACAATGTTGGCTAGCGTAGAAGAGGGTTGGAAGACTAGGGGTAACCGAACGAAGATGTATGATTAGTGAGTAAAGCCACTAACTGTTGGATTGAACTATACTGGGTGGTGCAGACTACTCCGCTAGGGTTCGTATCATTATTGTAAACATTAGTTGAAGACGCTGAGTGACATGACTTAGGTTCAGTTACAATGATGAAGGCACATTCACTGTTTTCCCTCAAGTACTGGATTTTTAAATAAGTTCATAACTTTCATTACTCAAATTCACTCCTTCTCGAACGAAATCCTTTATGCCTAATTTTTGTACTATCTCTACTACTTCGATATTTACATTGAAGGTTTTATTTTTCTGTGATAGTGTCCCGTCAACGATGCAATAAAGCCAAATTTTGGTCAGTAGTGTGGACTCATTATTCGGCGCAGCGTATCAACCTAATAAAACAATTCCTTTTCACAGATGGGTTATTAGATAGCTACTGGCTGTCGTACAAGAAATTTCCGTACCATAAATCAATGAACGCTAGAATCACTTTATCAACACCTTTTGACCTGACCAGTATTTAATACACACTAAAATCCATACTCGGTTTGCCATCAGTATCGTGAATGAAGAACTTCATTTTTCGATGAACCGTTGGGGATGTGTGACCTTTAAAAATATGTAGCCTATAGACACTTTAAATTACTTAGAAGTGCTTTTTTTCGTATCTTATAAAATATTAATGTCATTTTACTGATCAGTTGTTGTCACCTGTTATTCATTCATTTTAAGGAGCTTGACTCAATAATTAAGCACTCTTGATCAATCACCACTCACATACCCTTCGTATACATATAGTTGGTTGAACTCGTTATTACCAAATAAAAACCACTAAGATAACTTCACATTTCGTTAAGAAATTCTTTTCGACATAACTTCTAGAGAGGATTCCTAATTTCACAACATTTATGGGTTTTTCGTCATGTATTGGCATCAATTGAGATCTAGGGAGAATTGAACATCCGTATCATTCTGGTTTGAGATTCGTCGGATGTATCTTGTGGAAAATATTATCTTGAGACTACTGAGTTGATATCAATTGGTTTACCTTTAACCAACCACCAATACGCGACATGACGTAACTACAACCCCGAGTCATTGGTGATTCGGATGAACTCCACCGACAACTTTCCACAGGAACTTCAGCAAATGAACTAGAGGTTAGTTACTAGCGAACACATGATTAAAATTCGCTCATCAAGTGGAGTTGAGTATTAAAGATAAAATGGGAGTTCAAAAAGGTTTTCATGACTGAGAAGTGAACCATAACGTTAACCACTTAATGTAATAAAACCACAAGCTTAAGGATTACTCACAATAACACATGTATTTAACAATTAACAGTTCAGTGAAATCGATTACAAACGTTTTGCGTACAACTCCCGACATAGTCCTGCGCATTTAATGACAGGTAAACAAACTGTGTTTAGCATTTTGGTAGTTTCGAAGAAAAAAGTTCAGGAAATATGAGTGAAGCAAAATTAGAAATGGCAAAAATAGATACACAACCGCCCGAAAAGACAAAATAGGAATGGAAAGTTTGAAAAGGACAATGCTTGGGGACAAAATAGAAGATATATACAGACAGGCAGCAGTAAAAACCAAGAAAGGTATTCATTTTGTTGAACACAAAAATCTTAGAGACGGAAGATAAGAAAGACAAGGTAGAAGCCAAAAAACAGATGAACTCAGTATAACAAAGGCTAAGTAAAACGACTAAAATGAGAAATAGAGTGGAACCAAACAATACTATTTAAAGATCACAGACATGCCACAAAAGTTCGGAAATTCAAAATCAATAGTAACGCGGAAGACCAAAAGAAGGTAGTGCAATGGACAAATACACAGAAAAGGCAAATAGGTACAGAGGTACCGAAAGACAAAGGCAAAGTAATAAGTTACACAGTCACACCAGGAAAAATTGAGAATCTGATTGGTGAAAAAAATGAAGGCTAAACTCAGACTGATTGAAAGGTTAGCTCAAACAATTCATTACGATAGTATTGAGTTAACCCAAAATGAAAAAAAAACTAGGAAGACATACTAACATGATCAAAAAACAGGTGAGATAAAACCAAACAATCATGAATAAATAAATAAATAGGAATAGGCAAACAGCCAAGGCAACCATAAAGTTTTATACAGACATACAAAATGAATCTAAGGAAAATCCTGAAGAATTAGCAATGCAACAGACGGGGACCTTGGAGCAAAATCTTGGATGGATAAAATGTGAAACAAAAACGAATGAGCTAA